TCAGGCTCCCTCAGGCCGGCCTCAGGGTTCGCCCCGCCGCCCCGGGCTGCCAACGGGGAGGCGAATGGAGCCCTGTACGCCCTCCAACGGTGCCTTTTGTCCCGTTGGGCGACTACGGGCAAAGGACGATCCCCTCAGAGATAGTAGTTCTCATAGATATGTTTTCTATGTGTGCAAATATATTTATAAATAAACGTATAAGCACCCTGCCTTCTCCGTATTTTGTGGAAAGTGATTAAAAAGTAAAAAGTAGACTACTAAAATAAAACGTTACAGCGTCGTGTGAGCGTTTGTACCTTCGTAACCGGAAAGTTTAAGCTTGAACTGGAGTTTGCTCCTTGGTGCCTGTGGGTAAGCGGGTCCCTCCGGTTTGAGTCCCGCTATTGGTATCTGCACCAGGCCTCAAAGGCCGTTCGAGCACCCGCTGCTGTTAAACTGATAAGATTTGAAAGCTTAAAGGGATAGGTAGCTCTTAAGTCCGTCGATAACAGACTTCTGGCAAGCATTTCAACTTTTGAACTCGACCCTTGCGTAAAACACCATATAGTGAATTTAAATCTACTGATAATAGGCTTGCTTTCTTCTTTACTTTTCATATAGCCCTTGAGAAGTAATCCAGGGATAATCCCTGGGGATAATCTCCCAGGAGTCTATAGACTATAGATTGAAAACAACTGGTTTAAGGTGCGAGGAAGGCAACCTCATTAATTGGTGTTCTATGGCTTCTGCTTCAAATGAGGTTTCACTGGTAGAAATCAGTAGAATATGTTTGGAAATAGTAGAATAGGTGATGATTTTGGGCCAACTCAGGAGCAAGCACTTCAGAAATGCAAGAGTCTTGTGGACTGTGACACCAAACCCAAGCTCTTAATACTGCGGTTCAGTGGCAATCCTAAATTAGGTGCCCAAATTCCACATGGGTTATCTTCGAGAGGTTAGCCTTGAAATCTGGAAGAATCAGTTAGTTAAGGTGTCAATGGAAGTACTGAAATGTGTGTTGAGACACACAGGGACTTAAAGGTCTTCATCTAGTCCAGATTTGAGGAATACAGTTGAAGTTCCCACATATCAGCCTTCTTCCCTGTTGTGGTTTAGGCCTTGGGTATGTCAGTTCTTCATTTTGTAAGGTGTTGCTAGGATAGGGCAATGCTTGTGATCCAGTGTGTCAGTGGTTGGCATCCTCACCAGACTTCCCTACCTAACTAGGAGAAGTTTCGTCCTGTGCCTGGAAAATGCCTGGTCTGACAAATTGCCACCCAAAAGATTGTTTTGAATACTGAACTGACAGCGCAACAGTGCTGTCAATTCTTGAGCAATTCTTTATAGGCTCATGAAGAGGCATCTGTGCTTCAGTGTTAAATCTTTTATTATCTTTCTTTAGCTTGCCACCTAAATGTCTAAGTCACCAAAGATTGCTTCCTGTGTCTGATCTAACTTTAGTATCTTGTATGTGAAAATCATGGTGATATAGCACAGAATGGCCCGTCTGTGTTCGTTTCGGGGACAAAGAATTGTCCAAGAAGTTTAGGTGATGATGTGATTAAAGAGAGAAAATCACAGCTCTCGTAATCTTTCCTGTCTTCTAAAAATTATTGTAATATTCAGTGTTTCTTTTAACACTTTGTGTGGAATATAAAGCGTAGTAGTTTCTTTAGAATTTTTTTTTGGTGGAAATGCAGGTATTTAAACAACTCATGCTAACTTCAGTTAGACAATATTGTAATGAAGGCTTTCAAACATGACCTGACTGTCTGAATCAATGTTGAGACTACAAATTTTTTTCCCCCTTTTTTCTTTCTCTTTTTTTTAAAATAAATATAGAGTTTGCTTTCTAAAGCACAAGGAATAGGCTCCAGCTCAGTCAAACTTCGAGGGGGCTCTCTATTTATGAATGTTGGGAAATCAGAGAAGCAAGAAGAAGACATTAGACAAACACCCCATGTGAACATTAATCCTTTCACTCCTGATTCCATGTTCCTTCACAACTCCGACGGAAAATGTCGTAGGAGGAAGAGAACCCACCGGAATGAGTGAGTTACTTGTGTCTTCCTTTGTTAAGCTTATCTTTAGAACTACTTTTAGCTGCAAAAATTTTGTTACAAATTGATTCTTTGAAAGTGTTTTTCTTTGCAAATGTGTTAGTAATGCGTAATATAGGTTTTAAAGTATCTGCTTTGAGATGCATGGTATTATGAAATAAACATTTAGACCTAGGTCTTTTGATCAGTATGCAAAGGGGATAGACTAGGCTGTGTCCTACAGTCTTTTTTACCTGACTGAATGAGCTTTTCCTGAGGAGGGAAAACTGCATTAAATACTAGAATGAAACATGAAGAAAGAAATGACAGAGATATTAGTATGGTGCTTTTACTTTATGAGTTTGTGCTTACAAGTGTAATATTCAGTTAGTTAAACTAAACTTGGGTAGAATGGGAGAATCAGATCTCAGAAAAATCAACAGCTGCTAGACTTCAGCTTTAAGTTTACTTAAGCCACATTACTTCTGCACAAGTAACTGGTGTGAATTTCAGCTCTTGTGGAGAGGACATGGAAGCAAGTGATGGAGAGCCTGAAGATGAAACTCTCAGACCTGCAAAGGTAATTAATCTTTAGAACTTGATACTGAGTTTGGCAATTTGTGGATCTGCAGATCTAAGAATTTTCCTTCCTAATCTTTGCAGAGGATAACAATAACAGAAAGTAATATGAAGTCACGGTATGCAACCGAATTTCATGAGTTGGAGAAGATTGGATCTGGTGAATTTGGTTCTGTGTTCAAATGTGTGAAGAGGCTTGATGGTTGTATTTACGCAATAAAGCGATCCAAGAAACCTTTAGCTGGCTCAGTGGATGAGTGAGTATTTACCAAGAGGTTAGAAGTCACCTCCTGGTGCTTTTTTCTCACGTGTCTCTTTGTATCATTGTGTAGAGAAGGCATTTAAGAGAAAAGTATAAATATACATGAATTAAATGTAAAACAGATACAATTTTGAAGTCACTTTTTTCTTTTTCTGAAAAGTGTGCAATACTAGGGAGGAAAGGCTACTTGATTTTGAAATCACTTTTTTCTTTTTCTGAATACTGTGCAATACTAGGGAGGAAAGGCTACTTGACCTTTCTTCCAGCAGATGTTTGTCCCAAAATTCTGTGTGGAAACAGATTGCTTTCATCTGGAAAGTAAGAATAATACTTGCATTAGTGGCAGGAGGGACTATATGAATAAATTGTGCAGTGATGATAATTTGATATATGAAAGGGAAGCAGTATTCCAAACTACGTTCTCATCCTTGTCAATTTGAGTGACATGCAGATTAAGTCATTTTGGGGGTATTTTTTGGCATTTGTGAATGAGGCTGCTATTTGTGACCTTTTTCCCCCACCATTTTAATAGTTATAATATAAAACTCCACAAGTTTGAATTGCTCGAAATTGCATACTGGACTTAAATACTTTCCAACCAGCAGAAAGCTTTGAGAAGCATTGCTGAAGTTTTAGGAAGAAACTAGGTGATCATAAGCCAGGAGTATGACTAAACTCAGTATGCCTAAATCTAATGGAAGTGACAGCTCCCTCAAGAATTATCTGCAACAAAACCTTTTTTTTTTTTTTTATATCCCTCAAGAATTACCTGCAACAAAACCTTTTTTTTTTTGTTCTTTAAGTGTAAAAATTATTTTAGCTGTTTGGATATAACTACAAATCCACCTTAAGGTGCCATCTTAGTCTTTTAATGCAGTGTAAAAATTATTTTAGCTGTTTGCATATAACTACAAATCCACCTTAAGGTGCCATAGAACTGAATATGAAGATTTTAATTAAAAACCTGAGCTGGCAGAGGGACATGATATTATAATAAGTGTTTCTATCAAGCTGAAATTGGACTAGTTTCACCTCATAATATTCTTGTGTGCTGTTATTTTTTGTGGCTGTTTGCAGGCAAAATGCTTTAAGAGAAGTTTATGCACATGCAGTTCTGGGACAGCATTCTCACGTAGTAAGATACTACTCTGCTTGGGCAGAAGATGATCATATGCTTATACAGAATGAATATTGCAATGGTAAGTAAAATTTATCGCTTGTTCTGAACTTGCTTTCAAAAAATTTAATTTCTGAAGTTCTACAGCTATCTGCAAATCCCTAGGACTAGTTAGGAATTGATTGCCCTACACATAGCTCATACCATCATTGTCTCGAACCTCTGATGTTCTTTTCTGTTGCAAAAGCTCTATTAGTCTACACACAGCTCATACCATCGTCTCGAACCTCTGATGTTCTTTTCTGTTGCAAAAGCTCTATTAGATACATGAAGCAAAAGCTGTACAAAATTGCAGACAAAGTCTTAAGTCTTCAAGAATATTGGAAGTACAGTGAGGCATTTGTGAGCAGCAAAATGGTTCTTTCTTCTGTACAATAGTACAAGCTGGAATAGAGACAATTGCCAGAGAGTTTCCTTTAAAAAGGGAGGTGGATCTGATTTCTGAAACTTTTTGCTGTAGCTGATACCCTGCCAGAGATTTGGAAAAGGGAGAGTGGTCTTTTCTATTATGTTGGTATCCTGTTAATTTGCATGGCAGCTACAGGAGAAAAATAATTTTGTTATATTCCATGGCTATAAAGAGGGGATACAACACTAGATTTTTACACTCAAGTTCTTGGGGATGTATTTACTGTTAATTTTGGAAGCCAGTTGTACTTACTTTTTGAAGCAAGTTGTTATTACTTTGTGAACTGTTTGGTGTAAAGTAATTAGTTGCTTTCTTTAATGTTGTTTTAGGTGGCAGTTTAGCAGATGCCATAAGTGAAAATTACAGGAATATGCGTTATTTTACTGAACCAGAACTGAAGGACCTCTTACTTCAGGTGGCTCGAGGCTTAAAGTACATTCATTCAATGTCACTGGTACACATGGATATCAAACCTAGTAAGTTTGTATGCCACTTTACTCTGTATTGACAACCTCCTCAGTTAATTTAATCTGGGGTAGAAAAATAAGCAGTTAGCCACACCTTACTAACTGTAAATTCCTCATTGAAGTTCTAAATAGCATTACAAAGATGTCAGTTATAAAATTGGCTAGCAAACCTAAACTGTTGAGTTTATCTTGGGTCCTTTTTGTGTAATTGAATCTTATTTGCATAACACTTGGCTCCCATCCCAGCAGAGGGGCCAGAGCACGTAAGTTATAGTTTCTCACTCTAGGAACTGGGTGTATAGATACAACTAAAACTTCTGTGTGGCTAAACCAAACTGTAGTGAAACTAGAGGAAGTAGAAATTGGACAGAACCTACAATTTTTTTAACAATTCTTCTCTTTTTTCAGGTAACATTTTCATATCTAGGACATCAGTCCCAACTACAACTTCAGAAGAAGGTGACGATGATGACTGGTCATCTGATAGAGTCATATTTAAAATAGGTGAGAAGCAGCACAGTTGTGCTCAGAAGAATTGCATTGTCTGTTTGTCTTCTGAAAAAGACAAAAACCTTTATTATTCTTTTTACAGGTGACCTTGGCCATGTAACTCGAGTATCTAGTCCACAAGTGGAGGAAGGTGATAGCCGTTTTCTTGCAAATGAAGTCCTGCAAGAGGTAACTTCTGTGGAAAATAGTGATGTTTTCTTTAGAGTTGCTGTCTGCTGCCTTCTTGCTGGAGGAAAAGCTGCATGAGTAGTATCCCCTTGGACACTGGTAGTACTTAAGAGGGGAATGTAGTATTGTGGGTGGGTTCTGTGCTGAATAGTTTAGCTGTCTGTTAGATTTCTTACGTTGGATGGTATGTATATTAAATTAATTTTTCTTTATTTTTCAAGAACTACACTCATTTGCCAAAAGCGGATATTTTTGCTCTTGCTCTGACTGTTGTCTGTGCTGCTGGGGCTGAACCACTTCCAACTAATGGGGACCAGTGGCATGAAATTCGACAAGGAAAACTACCTAGACTACCACAAGTGCTTTCTCAAGAATTGCTAGACTTACTGAAAGTAAGAACTCTTGTACTAGTGGCTCACTGATTAATGTAGATTACTGTATTACTGGCCTTAACTAGAATACCTTATCTTCTTTATTCCAAGGTTATGATTAATCCTGACCCAGAGAAAAGGCCTTCAGCTGTGGCACTAGTCAAGCATTCAGTGCTGCTTTCTGCTGCAAAAAAGAGTGCAGAGCAGCTCCGGATAGAACTGAATGCTGAAAAATTCAAAAACTCACTCTTGCAGAAGTAAGTACTTCCTTGGGGTCCTTAAATATAACTTAATTTTTAATGGGTTTTCATATGATAGTAGAGTAATGATAAAACAAGACCATCCTTGTTTCTGCCTGAGGTCCACAAATCTGTATGCACGTACATCCCTGAGAGAGAGTACAAAGTGGGTCATGTCACTTTAAAAGGAACTTTCTCTGTAGAAGGAACTTCTTGAACACTCTAAGGGAATCTCAACTACATTATTAGTATTCAAGATGTACAAAACATTGCAGTTCTAAAAAAGTATTTCAAGCATAATGCATACTTTTGTGACGTGCATGGTCTAACATATCTATATTATTCGAGCCTGTGTTTTCGTGGGTCATCCGTACATTGAAACACATTGTAAAACATGACTTACATGAGCTCTTTTGAACTTAAATGAAGTGTCACATCAGGAATGGTTTTGGACAGATTTGACATGTACACAACATGGTTATTAGGTTACCAGAGAATCGTTTGTATCATGAGGTCATCTTGTCCTACGCCTTGGTCAGACACTCAGCTCTGAATTAAAGCTTTGAAGAAGAGATTCCCTTTAGGAAAGTCTGATTTCTGCTTAAGTTTCAGAGAAAGAGTTAGCAAGTTCAGAAGGATATGTCTGAATCTTTCACTGCAGTTAGCTTTGCACGTTATGCATAATATGCAGGATTTTATAAGGGAATATATAATACTGATTACTTTCTGACTGACTCATTTTGAGTGATGTTAGCTGTGTGTTTGGATTTCTCTCTATCGCTATCTGCTTATCTTGCCATTGCTACAGTCTGAATGTAGTCAGACTTGCCATTTTAGATGGTTATCTTTATAATCTTCTTACGAATTATACTGCCTGCAGAGAGAATAATTTGTCAGTTTGTGCGGGTTATTCAGGGACAGATTTGCTGAGGTAACTTGCTTGTATAAAGACAACATGTTTTTGTATCATGTGGAAGGGAAAGTTGGCAAAGCTAATATTTTGTGAAGACTACTTCTGGCCTGGCAACAAGTAGGGTACATCCTTATAAAATAACTGTAAATTCAAAAATGGTTTAAAAAGAACACTTATCTCCAGTAATAACTTTAAATGTTGTGTGGGATAGTGCTCTATAAAATAATTCAGGTAGGTATTTTTGGGTTATTTTGGTTTTTTAACACTCCTGATTTAAGATAGCACTTGTGTATGTAAGTTATCCTCAGTGAAAGGAATCCTTTTAAGGAAACTCAGCTTTTCTACTGTGTGATCTTCTTCAGAGGAAGGAAGAATTCAAGGTTAGACTTGTAGGGAATAATGGAAGTATACTGTAAAACTTAATTTTCTGGTAATGGTATGGTGGGTGAGTGTGCACATCTGTGTGTATTTGGGACTGATGTTCAATCTTTAGGTAAGATGACTAAAAATAGATTGCATTCTCTTGCAGTGAACTGATACAATGATAATGTGGGGAGGATTAGATGGGGCACGGGTGTTAATGAATACTTTGGATTACAAGTAAGAATGGGAGTAGCCTATTAAAATAAAAAATGTAACTTAAAACTAAATACACCTACACAAATATGCAGCAAGTCTGTAAAATTTGATCTCGTTGTGGAGTCCAGATGTGAAGCAAGATTACAAATACTAGAGAAAAATTATTAATTGATAGTTTGGGGTAGGAGAAGAGTATGGGGGGAATTCTTACGCTTAGGCCATACATCAGCATTTAAGGAAAGGAGAAAAGGGGTGTTTTGGGAAACCGTTGGTAAAGATAACTTTTTAGTCAGGCTATTTCACAGTTTTATCCTGAGTTTTATTTAACTTTGTTCTCAAACTGAGTATTGGGAATTCTCTCAAACAAAATGGTTGCATGGGACAATGGCCTGTGCTACCTTCAGTGACTTAGCCTTGCAGTTTTGGGCTCAAAACGTTTATGTTAGGCAAAAAGATTGAGGTGGTGATAAGCTTTTGATGTGGGCATGCAAAAGGAAAAGGATGCTTCATGATGTGTCTTTTGCCAGTTACATTTATCTGTGTTCATCTAAAGCGTGTGTCTGTTTGAACGTTCACAGAAGTTCAGTTGTGTCTGAATGCTTCGTTTGGGCAAACCTCAGTAACTAGCTCTGTAGTGATTTACCATATGGCACATACTAGAAAGTAAACAGCATCCTACCATGTTCTGGTACTTGAAGTGTTGAGCTGCTTATAAAAGGCCAGATTTCAAACTCTGACTGAGTTGTGTGCATTTCTCATTTCCTTCCCTTGTTGTTCAAAAGAAAAAACATCTCAACCAGTAACATCTCATCCCACTTCTATCCTCTGGGTTGTAAACAGGTGGATGCAAATGATAATGGTCTTAGTGTGACCTAAATTGATGGCAAGTCTTAAGTTTTGAGCTGCTGTAATTAATTTGAAGTGCTCTTGCTGTGATACGCCTGTAGTTCTTACTGGTACCATCGCACAAGTGTGACTCTGGATGTCTTGCAGGGAGCTGAAGAAAGCACAGATGGCAAAGGCTGCAGCTGAGGAGCGAGCACTGTTCACTGACAGAATGACAACCAGATCTACGACACAAAACAGACCATCTCGACTCATTGGAAAGAAAATGAACCGCTCAGTTAGTCTTACTATATACTAACTATGAAGTCTAAAAGAACTACTGAGGATGGCTATAGCATCTCTGCGAGATTGAAACCTAAGGAATTGAAGGATGCATTCAATTCCTGGTTTCTTGTCCTGTCTTTTATCAGTGTCACTAGTTTTACAGGAATTGCTTCTGGGTTTCTACTTGTACAATATGGCCATTAGCTGTATTTTAAGCATTTGGGGTTAATGGACTCAGTTACGATCTTGTCTGTAGAGGATCCTGGATGTTAATCCATAAGCCTTTCACACTGTTAGATGTTACATCGTCCCAGGGTTAACCACTATAGTGGTGTGCTGCTTTGTAGTGTTACTGCATTGTAATAAGAAGTAAGATCCCAAACGAACTTTCAGCGGGAGCGAGGAGGCCTTGCTTTGATAGTTACTGGTTTGTTTGTTTGTTTGTTTTTTGTTTTTTGTTTTTTTTTTTGGAGCAGAGGGGAATACATTTTGAAAGACAGGCTTTAAGGCCACCTACACTCAGTGTACCTGATGTCAGGTAGACTTTTATTGTGAATTTTATTTGTATATTCAACTGGGAGCACTTTGTAGGCATTGCATAAACCACAGCTTAGAAAACTGTGGAATTAAGTGCCATGTGGAACTGCTGCTATTTTTAGTTTGTTGTCCTCGCTGTAAAACTGTAGCATTAAAACAATCATTATTGTGTTAATAGGCTTCTTGTTAAAACAATTACGTGAAACAAATCTAAGCTGCATTTTAGTGAAGGCAGCATTTTTCTCTCAAAGCTAGTGCATTGTGAAATAATGCACCAATTTAATATTTGGACTCTGTATTAGTGTAGTGCAATTGTTAATGTCTTGGCTATTGATGTTTTGTAATTCTAATAAGGTTCTCTAAATGTTGATATTCTCTTCAGTTGTTCATTCTTGAGACTATTGTATATTTTTTTATGTTGGAGTACTTGTAAATAATTTTTAGTGTAACTGTTCAGGTTGTTTTTCATTGTTCATGTACATAAGTTTGATTGTACTTAAAGAATACTGAAACTGCAGTCTGAGATGCCAACAGTCAAAGCTGAACTATTTGGTTTTAAATTCCAAAACAAACAGAATGTGACCATCAGAACCTCTACTGGTGTTGCACCTAGGCTGACAGATGTTGCTAAAAAACAACAGTTAGTCTTACTATATACTAACTATGAAGTCTAAAAGAACTACTGAGGATGGCTATAGCATCTCTGCGAGATTGAAACCTAAGGAATTGAAGGATGCATTCAATTCCTGGTTTCTTGTCCTGTCTTTTATCAGTGTCACTAGTTTTACAGGAATTGCTTCTGGGTTTCTACTTGTACAATATGGCCATTAGCTGTATTTTAAGCATTTGGGGTTACTGGACTCAGTTACGATCTTGTCTGTAGAGGATCCTGGATGTTAATCCATAAGCCTTTCAGTTACACTGTTAGATGTTACATCGTCCCAGGGTTAACCACTATAGTGGTGTGCTGCTTTGTAGTGTTACTGCATTGTAATAAGAAGTAAGATCCCAAACGAACTTTCAGCGGGAGCGAGGAGGCCTTGCTTTGATAGTTACTGGTTTGTTTGTTTGTTTGTTTTTTGTTTTTTGTTTTTTTTTTTGGAGCAGAGGGGAATACATTTTGAAAGACAGGCTTTAAGGCCACCTACACTCAGTGTACCTGATGTCAGGTAGACTTTTATTGTGAATTTTATTTGTATATTCAACTGGGAGCACTTTGTAGGCATTGCATAAACCACAGCTTAGAAAACTGTGGAATTAAGTGCCATGTGGAACTGCTGCTATTTTTAGTTTGTTGTCCTCGCTGTAAAACTGTAGCATTAAAACAATCATTATTGTGTTAATAGGCTTCTTGTTAAAACAATTACGTGAAACAAATCTAAGCTGCATTTTAGTGAAGGCAGCATTTTTCTCTCAAAGCTAGTGCATTGTGAAATAATGCACCAATTTAATATTTGGACTCTGTATTAGTGTAGTGCAATTGTTAATGTCTTGGCTATTGATGTTTTGTAATTCTAATAAGGTTCTCTAAATGTTGATATTCTCTTCAGTTGTTCATTCTTGAGACTATTGTATATTTTTTTATGTTGGAGTACTTGTAAATAATTTTTAGTGTAACTGTTCAGGTTGTTTTTCATTGTTCATGTACATAAGTTTGATTGTACTTAAAGAATACTGAAACTGCAGTCTGAGATGCCAACAGTCAAAGCTGAACTATTTGGTTTTAAATTCCAAAACAAACAGAATGTGACCATCAGAACCTCTACTGGTGTTGCACCTAGGCTGACAGATGTTGCTAAAAAACAGAACTGTTTTAATTACTGGCTTGTCTCTTCATTAATTTTAGTTTAAACAATGTTTCCCATTTGTGCTCTATTTGTTCTTACTAGTGTTGAAGTTGAATATTAAAGTTAAAAACTTGTTTAATATTGTCTAACACTTATTTAACTCTATAGTTGTGGAAATAAAATACTGAGTTAGGAATATACTATGGCAAGATCTGATTAGATCTGCTTCCTGCTGCTGTGTAATGCTTGTGATTCCCTCTCATGAGAGTTGGACTAATAGAACATACTGGCTGATAGTTAGGTTAGGAGAGAAGCACCACAGTCTCTGTGCATTAGTATCTTTAGCAGTCTGTCTCTACTGCTTTAGATATGGTACTGCATGTTGGAAAGATGAAGCCCCTGGAAGATTTGAAGTGGAACCCGTGACTGTGAAGATGGGGGACTAGATGAAATTATGTGAAGAAAGACCTGGATCTGAGGTAAGGAGGAAAACACATGAATTGCTGAGAACAGGAAGAGAACTGCTTATTTAAAAGTTGGTAAGAAAGCAGTGGGAGGAATAGGAATAGTCTGTGGAAGACAATAACAGAATGTTCTGTGGCATGGATGCAAAATATGCACATGTATTCTACCTTGTGTAAAGAAGAGACACAGTAAAATTAATAAAGGCTTAGTAGATGAGTCTATTGGGGAAGCTTTTGCACTGCTAAGTATTTTTATTTATAAGAGGTCTCAGTGCTGTTTGTTTATGACAGTGAAATTCAGAGGCTTGGTTTAGGTAACTCATTCTCTGAGTGTACAGTTCTCATTAGTAAAAATTGATAGACTGGAATACCTTTAAGTTTTTACTTTGTGTAATAGTCCTGTCTTGTTTCTGAGACACCTTAAAGTACCTCATCTATTGCTCATCTACTCTAAATGAGACCTCGTAAAGCAGATTTCTAAAGTGATAAATATCGATTGATGGGGGATCAACAAACTTAGTAAGACTTTCTTCTATCATGTAAATAAATTTGATCTGCCTATGATAATTATCTGCTTTTGCATCACTCATTTTCAGAGGCTTGTAACATCATTACAGGTGTTGCTGCATGCACAGGCCCTGTAGAGGTGTACTCTTTGCTGGGTAAAAAACTGGCTGGATGGCCAGGCCCAAAGAGCGGTGGTGAGTGGAGTTAATTCCAGCCAGCAGCTGGTCACAAGTGCTGTTCCCCAGGGCTCAGTACTGGGCCTGATTCTCTTTAATATCTTTATCGATGACCTGGATGAGAGATTCGCTTCCACCCTTGGTAAGTTTGTAGAAGACAAAAGTTTAGCAGGAGTATTGATCTACTTCCGGGTAGGAGTGCTCTACAAAGGGATCGGGACAGGCTGGATCGATGGGCCGAGGCCGATGGGATGAGGTTCAACAAGGCCAAGTGCTGGGTCCTGTGCTTGGGTCACAACAACCCCATGCACCTCGCTGCCTGATGGAAAAGGACTTGGGGGTGTTGGTGGACAGCCGGCTGAATATGAGCCAGCAGTGTGCCCAGGTGGCCAAGAAGGCCCACAGCATCTTGGCCTGTGTGAGAAATAGTGTGGCCAGCGGGACTAGGGAAGTGATCATCCCCGCCACATCTCAAATACTGTGTGCAGTTTTGGGCCCCTCACTACAGGAAGGACATTGAGGTGCTGGAGCATGTCCAGAGAAGGGCAATGAAGCTTGTGAAGGACCTTTAGCACAAGTGTGAGGAGAGGCTGAGGGAGCTGGGATTCTGGAGAAAAGGAGGCTGAGGGGAGACCTTCTTGCTCCCTACAACTACCTGAAAGGTTGTAGCAAGATGAGGGTCAGCCTGTTCTCCCAAGTAACAAGTGATAGGATGAGAGAAAACAGCCTCAAATTGCACCAGGGGAGATTTAGGATGGATATTAGGAAAAATTTCTTCACCAAAAGAGTTGTTAAACATTGGAACGGGCTGCCCAGGGAAGTGGCTGAGTCACCACCCCTGGAAGTATTTAAAAGACCTGTAGGTGTGGTGCTTAGTGACATGTCACTACCTACCTATCTAGTCTTGCTATATCTCATGCTGAAGGAGTGGGTGCTGTGGTGGACTAAAGCTCTGTAGGTGTGGTGCTTAGTGACATGGCACTGCGTAACTATCTAGTCTTGCTGCATCTCGTGCCCAAGGAGTGGGTGCTGTGGTGGACTAAAGCTCTTACAGAATTAGTTTCCTATAAAGACATGACACCACTTGACACTGACAAATGCTGCTTTCCAAAAGTATTCTGAAACTGTTCCATCTAAATGATTTAATTTGTGGATGAATTGTCTTCCAATGTGAATTCCAGGTATCAAGGAATGTATGCTATATTTTAAAAAATATTTTGAGTCACATGTGATATTCAAATACTATATGAAATTTTATTTATGACATTACTGTCAAAACAAAATTGAATTTGCTTAGAGAGTAATTTTTTCAGAAAACAATACTGTGATAGTCATGTATACTACTGGTCGATTATAGCCATGAAAGCCAACAGATGGATGAGGAGTATGTCTGTAAAGAAGTTAGCATTTTCCAGTTGGAAAATGTAGCATAACTAGAAATTGTTCTACTTTCATAGGTTGCATATCAAATGCCCAGCAGTGTTTGAGATGAATTACTGAGGTTATCTTAGTCTCCTTTTTTGTGTCGTTTATGTTAAGCTATTGATAAATAGCATTTGTCTAGGGTTTTTGTTTTTTGCAGTTTCCAACTGTCATAGATTCATAGAATAGTTTGGGTTGGAAGGGACCTTTAAGGGTCAGCTAGTCCAACCCCCCTACAATGAGCGGGGACATCTTCAACTAGATCAGGTTGCTCAGAGCCCTGTCCAACCTGATCTTGTCCTTTCAGCTCACTAATTTCCTGTTTTCCCTGCCCTGGATACAAGCTGTTGATTACCACAGACCTAGTAATATGTTTTATTCTGGGTGGGATGGATCTGAATTAGTAACATTAGTAGAACCAAGCAGTCAATAATTATGTTTCAGGCTTTTGTATGAAGTTAATGACAAGCTTTACCCTCACCTAGAAATGCAGGTAGGTACTACTTGTATATTTGAAAATAGGATTTCAATTTCATAGATTGCATTACTTTAACATGTAAAAGTTTCATGAATAAAAGTGTACTTACCCTATTCTTGTTGAACTGGGGGGAAAAAAAGAATGTGCCATGCATTGTTTGACACTGAACCAAAAGCTGATGGCTTCACCTTATCTTTAATGTGTTTTGTAGTCTCCAGCAACACCTGCTGGACAAAATAGTCAACTGTGCACTCAATTTTTGTCTTTAAAGTGTTTGTGTGCTAGGATGACACTTGACCCTGATTGTTAGAAGTCATTATCTCACTCTGCAGTAGTGATTGAACCAGCAGTAGCTTGGGTAAGTGTTGACTTATATATTTTTTTTTTTTGTCTGCACCCACCCTCTCGGTTCTGTAGGCTTGGAAAAGGCATCCTCATGATTTCACCATATATGTGATTTGGTATATAACATGTATGCACACTTAATAAATCTGCATGTGTGCTACCTATGAATATCACTGCTGTAGCTGTGCTTGAGGACTCCGGTCTAAAGCAATGGCCAGCAAAAGAGTCAAAAGTGGGGCTGTTCCCTGCCCAAACCTTCCCTTCTTTTCAGTGAACCACGGAAACCATCAGAGTGAGCTGTGAGGGAGCTCCCTCAGCGTGAGGCTGCTGAGCTGACATGTAGGTTCTCGTCTCAAGAAACACTGCAGAGAGAAAGGAGGAAGCAGCAGCGACGGGGCAAGACAGCACACAGGAAATTAAGGTCCCGCTACTGTTTAAACAGTTGGAATTGGATAGAGATGCTATCTTCCCAAAGTATAATGGGATTGGGGTAGAGGAAAGGGAGGTGCCCTGAGGAGAGAATATTGCTGTGCCTAATTAAACAGGAAGCAATTTATTACTGTTTAACATGTTGCTCGGAGATCTGAGGTTGTATAGGCTTAAAAATTGTCTGAGATTCTGGATAGTCTTGGAAAATGGGAAGAACTGATTTCAAAGGTCTTCCTTTTGCCAGTCATTTGACTCCCTTTTAATACACAGCGTCAAATTTAGCATGACATCTGAATATCATGCTGGTATACACTGATTTCTCTGTTTGACTGAAGATGAAAGCAGAATGACTGGCCTAATTCTAATTAATGATCTTCTGTGTATCCCTAGGGTTACTGCCGGATAGGTGGGCTAATGGACGTAAAAACTGCTGCTGTTACTGAATTACCATCTATGCACAGGAAAAGATCCTGTGTGCAGCCCGGGGGAGAAGATCTTGTTCATCTATTGATTTACAGACAACAGAATGCACCGCTAATTAAAGTATTTTAGGCAAGGTTTTCTGCAGGATAGGGATGGAGGGGACAGGAGAAACATCTCCTGTTCCTAACCTTTAGTAGTCTCACATGCCACTGATCTTGGACATCTTCCTACCTCTGCAGCTATTTGCCCTTGCCTCTCTTCTCTCTCAGCTACTTGGGTGTTAAGATATTTCGGGTAGAATCTCCCCATATATTTGCTCCATGCCTTAGCAAATGGGATTTTAATCTCATTTTGGTTTTGTAGATACTGAGACAATAGTGATAGTCAGTCTTGCACCATGAACCTGCTTAAATGGCTTTTTCCACTCACCATCTCTCTCAAGTTTCTATCCCAAAACTTGTTATCAGGTGGTTACTGCAGTACACACCTGGGATTTAATTTCCTCTTCCTTTCTGCAAGTGAGGTATCTCTGGTATTCTGTTCTACTGCGAGTTCTGCAACGTGGTGAGAAAAACCCTATCAGCTACAAGCACAGAGTAAGATGTGTGTTGCCAGGGAGGAACTGAAAGGTAAGGTAATGTTCTGTGTTTTACCTTTGTTATGTTTCTTTTGGTGTTTGAATAGAAATGTATGTGTTATGCATCTAATGCTGCTTCCTACTTCACCTACAATAATTTTCATGCTTAATTTTTACATAGTTTCAGTGAGAACATTTGAGGCATGTGTATAAGGCCAGAGATCAAACTTTTTAAAGTATTTAAAAATAATAGAAGAATTCCTCAAATGCCTTGAGGACTGGGTTACACTATAATGTCAAATATACTTGCTGTTTTTTTACACTGTCCCCCAATGCTTCCTGAAGATGTTTTATTGTGGGACAAGTCTGTTCAGAAACTGTAACACATTGATCATGAACGTTGGCATTTGCTCTAGTTTTATTTTGTACTGAAACATGACTCTGAACTGGCTGATACTGGAAACACAGTTTGCTACAAAGTTGGCTTAATGATCTTAAATTTGTTTCCTTCAGTTTAGGTGTTTTGTGGAGAATGAAAATGACTGATTTAGCTGCAGTTCAGGAAGATTTTCTCCGGGCTAACAATGAGCAGAAAACTGTAAGTTGCTCATGTGTCTGAATTCTTTCCTTGATGACAGTTTAACTGACTCAGTGGCATAAAACAAAATTAGTAACAGTTCAAATGCGTAATCTTTCCTCCTCTTAGAACCTCTCTGACAAATACTTATTATTTGGCTAACAAGGAGTAATTAAGCTTCTGTTAGGGAGGGGAAAGAGAAAAGCGATTGACCTCTTATGGCTGAGCCTCAGCAGGGTCTAACTAAAGCTTCTTCCTGAAAGTGTGAGTCACTCTGTGAGACTGTGAGCCAGTTTTCCCTCCTGGATCTCCTCACCACCCTTCAGTCATGTTTTTAACTCTGGTGAGTGAGCAAGGTTAGAATAAGCACAGATTTAAAGTAAAGTTGCCGAGATCTCAGACAACTTTCAAAAAAAAGCAAAAGTTAAAATGTTAAGTTGCATCAGAACTTAGTCGTGTACCACGCAAACAATTTAGAGCTTCTGTAGTGCTATCAAGGACTTAATGGTTAACTGTGATCACTGTTAATTAATGTTCTGTGGATTATATGTCAATCTTATCTTCAAAGGTTTAGAATGTAAAGTCTTTGATAAACAAATGTTCAGACTAGCACATTAAAACAGAAGAGCTTCTTAAAATAACTCACGTTGGGTGTGGATGCAGTTAGTCTTGTAACTTTGTTAAAGCTATTTTGGGTGAGTATGGAAAACAAAGGTTTTTTTCAACAGCGAGTTTATTTCTCCGCATGAATTTCAGTTTAACTGGTTTTGCTCAATTAGTTCAATCCAATTAAACATATTTTAAATATGGGTATGTCTATATATAATTTTATTAATGTTATGCATAACATTAATAATAATTTATTAATTTTATGCATAATTATCCTTTTGATTACCCTACCAAAAGCTGGAGCAGCTGAGGCTTATGTAAACTACTAATTTTAATGAAACATTTAAACATGGACTGTTAACCTATTGACCTGAATGGAGCTATTTATACTCTTAATGGAAAACAAGTCCTGTTCTGGCAAAGGATTTGAGCATGGCATTTAAATATTTAAATTGGGAATAACAGAAGCCAGCAACAAGAATGAAGGGAACCACACAGTTTAGTGGGGTGGGGTTTTGTTTGTTTTGTTTTTTGGTTTTGTTGTGTTTTTTTTTTAACAATTACTTTGTGGGGCACTGTTTAAATTTCATTTTACCATGCCATTGTTTTTATGAAAATGAGCTGCCAAAAATCACTGAACTCCGTTCAAACAGAAATCAAGCCTCTGCCATGAGGAGATTCATGTATGAACTATATTAATTGCTTTTCCTCAGTGACATGTCACAGAACCTAGCTGTATTTTAATGCACTTTAATAGGGATGTTCTGTATTTACTGATGGTCTTGTGGTTGGTCAGCTATGAAAAAAATAGTTTGTTAGGTTATCTGCATGACAGAAGTTCCTCCCTAAGTGGAATAGCTGTGGTCAAATTGGAGAAATTATAAAGTTCCTCATTATTATAAAGTATAAAAGTTCCTCCCTAAGTGGAATACCTGTGGTCAAATTGGAGAAAATATAATGATATTCTTTAAGAATGTAAAATGTGCTTTTAAAAAGTACATTTTGGCATCTGAACACTGGGTAAACAACCCCACTTTGGAACAACAATAATATATTCCAAGATGATAGATGTTTCTGGCTATATTAACAACTATAATGTTAGCAAATCAGGTTCATTAGGAGATTTAATCCAATTAATCTTTGATGCTAATTGTATCGTTCACACCATCCATCCTGAGAAAAGAGCATAAATAATTGTTTGTGGATTCCAAACAAAGTTAAGAAAATGGAGGGGGAGAAGGCTGCTAGGATATGCCCGGTGAATAAGGCAGGTTGTGTTTCTGTGTTCACTGTGTTATAAGAAATGATGACATCTCTGCATTGCTAGATTTTATTTGTTTCCTGTAAGCTAGAGAAGACACTAAAGAAAAAAAAAAATTACCAGAAATCTGTGGAGGATTCTAGTCTCCCATTTCCCACATGTAGAAAACTGATTTTCTGAGTTATCCCATATGTGAATTAAAAGTACTTCCTATGGTGGACCTCACTATCTGCTCTCTGTAGTGACCCTGGCCAGAGGACCATTGTACACTGAGGATTAGTGAACCACATAAATTTGTTATTGGAATGGGCTGCCCAGGGAGGTGGTTGAGTCACCATCCCTGGCTGTGTTTAAGAACCGTTTAGATGTGGTGTTGGGGGATACGGTGTAAGGGAGAACTTTAGAGTAGGGTGGATGGTTGGACTCGATGATCCCGAGGGTCTCTTCCAGCCTAGATGATTCTGTGATTCTGTGATACCCCTTGTGTGGCCTGCCCTTTATCTGAAAATGCAGCAAGAGGTTCTCTTGTGAGCATCCTTCCTGTTCGTCATTCGAAACAATGTATAGAGTTGTTTCCATGTAAGAAAATCCTATAATAGCTTGAATAACCAAAATGGTGTCATTTTTCCATGGGCAGGCTCTGCGTGAGGTGCTGCGTCTTGATCAGAGGCCTGGTTGGTGCCGCACAGCTCGGGGTTCTCAGCGCCTGAAGGAATGTAAGATTATCTATCCTGTCCTCCCCCTTATAGTGTTAGCTCTAATAAATGGCATTTTAAGTGATACTTGAGTGTCTGCGTGCCTTTCTCACCAGGATTGCAAAGAACCAGCCCCACCTGCTGCGAAACAGCCATCTTGCTGCACCTGCCAGAACCATTGCACTTGTAGAGAGCTATTTTTGTTCTAATGATGCAGTTGAATGAAGACCAAAATTGGACAAAAGTTAGAATCCTTCTTTTTTTTTTTTTTTCGTGATTGTGGTATGTCTTGAATTTGGGATCTTAATGGTTCTGCTTTAAATCCATAAAAATCATAGAATCATAGAATGGTTTGGGTTGGAAGGGACCTCAAAGATCATGGAGTTCGAACCCCCCTGCCCTGGGCAGGGACACCTCCCACCAGACCAGGTTGCTCAAAGCCCCATCCAGCCTGGCCTTGAACCCCTCCAGGGATGGGGCAGCCACAGCTTCCCTGGGCAACCTGTGCCAGTGTCTCACCACCCTCAGAGTAAAAAATTTCTTCCTGAGATCTGAATCTTTTTTCTTCCAATTTAAAACCGTTTCCCCTTGTCCTATCATTACCCTTCCTGGCAGAGTCCCTCCCCAGCTCTTCTATAGGCACCCTTCAGGTATTGAAAGGCCGCTATAAAAATGAAACCTTAATTTAATCGTGGGCTGTGAGCTATCAGTATTCAAAGCAATACATGTTTCAGCATTATTTTTGTGCTACTGGGGGCCTGGAGGCAGCTCACCCCCGTGAGGGGATCCAGAGAAGGGCAACAAAGCTGGTGAGGGGTCTGGAGCACAAGTCTTGTGAGGAGAGGCTGAGGGAGCTGGGGTTATTCAGCCTGGAGAAGAGGAGGCTGAGGGGAGACCTTATTGCTCTCTCCAACTCCCTGAAAGGAGGGTGTAGAGAGGTGGGGGTCGGTCTCTTGTCCTATCATTACCCTTCCTGGCAGAGTCCCTCCCCAGCTCTTCTATAGGCACCCTTCAGGTATTGAAAGGCCGCTATAAAAATGAAACCTTAATTTAATCGTGGGCTGTGAGCTATCAGTATTCAAAGCAATACATGTTTCAGCATTATTTTTGTGCTACTGGGGGCCTGGAGGCAGCTCACCCCTGTGAGGGGATCCAGAGAAGGGCGACAAAGCTGGTGAGGGGTCTGGAGCACAAGTCTTGTGAGGAGAGGCTGAGGGAGCTGGGGTTATTCAGCCTGGAGAAGAGGAGGCTGAGGGGAGACCTTATTGCTCTCTCCAACTCCCTGAAAGGAGGGTGTAGAGAGGTGGGGGCCGGTCTCTTCTCCCAAGTCACAGGCGACAGGACGAGAGGAAATGGCCTCAAGTTGCGCCAGGGGAGGTTCAGGCTGGATATTAGGAAACATTTTTTCACGGAAAGGGTTCTCAGGCATTGGAATGGGCTGCCCAGGGAGGTGGTTGAGGCCCCATCCCTGGAGGTGTTCAAAAGACGGGTTGATGTAGTGCTGGGAGGTCTGGTTTAGTGATGGTGATGCTCCTTGTTTGTTGTGTGGGTGTCTGTTTTTGTCAGTCAGGTTGACGGTTGGACAAGATGATCTTTGAGGTCCCTTCCAACCTAGAAGATTCTGTGATTCTGTGTTAGCAGGGAAATGCCGTGAGGGGACGGACGCGCTGGAGGCACAAAGGAGCTGTGGGGACATCTGATGTCCTTGCACAGCACCTTCTCTCACCAGTGCTTGGTCTGAACCCACAGCATTGAAGAGGACTTAACACAAAAAAAACCCAAACCAAACCAAAACAATCAAACAAAACCCCCCCTTCTTCCTTGTGGTGATGTTCTCTACCGCTCCCACAGTAGCGCTGAAGTTGTTTTCAGCCCAGCCTGCCTTGCAAGCTGCGTTTTGAAATTCTTGGGGCTGAAACAGTCTAGAAAGAAAGTCACTTTTCCCGGTGCGATGGCAACCGGGCGCTGGGTGTCCCGTGCGGGCAGAGCCGGGGACGGGGCCGGCGCTGCTGAGGCCGGGACCTGCCCGGGCCGAGCCCCGGCTCCCCGTCGCGCCTGAGGCCGCCCCGGCCCTCGCCTCTGAGGCGGGTCAGGGCGGCTGCGGCTCCCGGGGCGGCGCCGGCA